CAGGCAGCTGTGCAGACCGGCCAGGAAGCTGCCGCTGCGGACTTCCCGGGCCGCTGGGACTACAGCGCCCGGCGTGCCCCGCGGCGTGCCCCCTGCGGTGCGAGTGGGCCCGAGAGGTCTGCGGTGCTGAGTCTGGGCTCGTACCGACGGTCGGGGTCGTTCAGCAAGCTTGGGGGCCCGTTCTGCCTGTGCTGCGTAGGCCTGTGTCAGCAGAGTCACTGGCCGTCGGAACGGGGAAGGGCCTGAGCACTTCTTACGTATTTCCAGCGCGAAAGACAAAACTGCCCCCAAGAGAGACCGTCAAGTGCCCGAGATAATACACCTGGGCGTGAAAGAAGTCCTGTCTCCTGACTCAGTGGAGAGCACTGTCAGCACCTGGCTGACTTCCCAGTTAGATTGCGTTTCCTTTCACCTGATGTGATGGTGGTTGCAATTTGTCAAAGGTTAAACTTGTCAAACAGGCTTGTTCGAATGCCCAATATTTGCCCCTTAGAAGAGGGAAAAAATGGAGCAGATATTACTTTGGAAAGATTTAAAAGGTAGTTTTATGAAAGAAGTTAATGCTAGTCCAACTGAAAAGAGATTGTGCAGAGTATCACATCCACAATTGTTGGTCTGATTGGATCTTCTCATTTTCTTTACAATCCTAAAGTCCAAAGGATAGTTACTTCAGTGGCAACTGATGGCATACCTCATGAATGAAATATTTTTATTATTGACATTTGTGTGGACATTGCATAAGAAAGATAATAAATTTATATTTTTATTTTCTCTTCCAACTTTTCCTCTCTGCAAAAAAAGTTGCCAAGAGCAAGTCAAAGTAAGTAAAGGCTTTTTTTTTTAAATTTTACTTGTTAGATTTGTGAGCCCAGCTGCTACCAATATAACCTTACATGAAACTAAGCCTTTGGCCTTGGTTTCCTAAACGTTGGTTTGAGTATTACTTCGTTGATTATTTGGTCCCTTATGAACTCTTTGAAAACACATTTTCCCACTGTCTGAGCTTCCTCATTGAGCATTTGAATACTTGTGGAAAGGAGCTCTTGTTGACTTTTCTAGTCCCAGGATTTATGAGCCTACTGTCTTGTTCCTAAACAAGAACATCAAGACATCAACATCACTGTCTTGTTCCTAAACAAGTACATAGTTCTCTTTCCTCAAAATAAGTACTAGGGGTCATTTGTCTGGAGCCCACTACAGGAATCTAGCAGAACAAGCTGTGGTTTGATTAAATTATAGAGCCTGTTTTAATGAGTTTTGTAATCCATTGCATTCGTGGTGTAAGCATTTCAAGAGTAGCAAAGATTAGAGATTCCATGTAGTACCAGTGAGACTAGAAATACCAAACTGGTTTCAAAAAATAAAATTTGTAGACAATAACTGAAGATTTCCTGTATTAGAAATAGGGAAATTCTAAAACAGCCATTGCTTTTCATCCAAGACCTTAGAAGTCCTTAAACCTAGTTTTGTGTTTGATTAACAAAAACATGGACATTAGTCTCCTCCTGGAATATCTTTTTTTTTTTTGTTTGAGGTTTTTGCCTTAGGGTGCGTGTGCTCGCTGGAGAGAGAGAGGGAAAGTGAGAAATCACCTCTAGGGGGGCATTGCCATGCCACAATCCCTTCTCCATTCTCCTCCTGGGATCTTGGGCATGAATGCACACGTGCCTGGCGTGAGTTTCAAGCTACCAGGACTGGTACTCGAATGGCAGTTGGCCATGTGGGAGTCCAGTGATGTAACTGCTATACCATCGGCTGGCACCACGTGCAGTATCTTTTATTGACTTGTGTAGCTTTTCCCATAATGCAGATATTTATATCAGTTTTCTCCCATCAGGTTCTGACTGAGTCCCATACCATTAGTTTCTGTAGAGGTTTTCCCTGCCTTTCATGTTCTTTGTATGCTTGTTGTGACACTTGTCATATATGTCTTGCCTTACAGACTGTGTACCAACTGTACTGTACCAACCACACTGTGCTGTTAGTTGCTAGAGGACACATGCACAACCTTGTGGAGCTTTGTATTTCCTGTAGTGCTTTCCACAGAATAAGCACTTAATAGCTATTCGTCAAGTCTTTGTTGAATGAGTGACTAATTATTGCCTGTTTTAAGCAGAAAATGATTGTGTGCCTTTTATAAGGCATTGTGCTGAACATTGAAATAAGTACAGTGATCTGTAATACAGTCTTAGATGTTTCAGATTTGTTTTAGAATGGCATGAAATCACATGGGCTACATGGGGAAGTAAGATACATGAGGAACAAACAGTACCGGTATGAAAAGGTCCAGTTAGGCAAACATAGACTTTGTGCTTTGGGTGACTGTAACTTAAATACGAAGGAGCACGAGGTTTTGTACATTAGCTATCTAAAATTTTCAGTCTTTTTATTTTGCCTCTTTCTGATTATGCTCTTGTCACTTGTGCCCTGGGAGCCAGGGCTTTTCTGAGACAGCCATTACAGTTTTCCAACTAGACAGCCGTGGCTGTGGTTTCCACTACTGTTTTCCCCTTCCTTGCTTCTGCTCCTCCTGAAAGGTGGGTGTCTTAGGCTAGTCTCACAATGTGGCTTGATTGTTACTCTTGTTTTGGTTAGGCCATTATCAAGTCACACTGCATAGTGAAACAAACCTTGGGATTTGAAATCATTGAATTGTGTTTTGTGGAAAACATGGGGTGTCTTGGAACTGAATCTGTTTAGGGCCAAGTGATGTCCCACAACTAATAGTATTCTCTACAAGGTTCTCAGAATATGCCACGCACCCCCTTCTCAGGATTGATTTTTGTCTATTTCCTTAGCTACTTGTAATAGTTTATTTTTAAATCTTAGAACCATTCTGGTGAAAATGGTAAGCCAAGCTGGGACAGGTTATTCCTTCAATACCAAGAGACACCGACTCCGGGAGAAACTGACTCTTCTGCACTATGATCCAGTTGGTAAGATTCAGCGATGCTACTCCATAGTAGATCAGAAACTTTCAAGGTCTGTTACTTCCCACCCCCTTTTTTCATGGACATCTCTGAGACTGGACCTCTCTGAGCATCTCTGGCAATTTTGTGGCCCCTTTGACACTAGCCCTGTTGACACTAGCATTCATTTCATTCTGCAAATATGTATTGGATTTTTATTATGGGGCTAGTTACTATATCCCAGGTACTGGGATACAGCAGGACACAAGACAGATGAAGACTGCTCTAGGTACTTAGTCTGTATTGAGAGAGGGAGAAAAAAATTATTTGTGCTAAGTGCTGTGAGAGCAGCAATCAGGATGCTGAGATGTAAGATGAAGCTGAGTGTGCAGGTGGGGAGACCGACTTCAGATAGGCTAGATGAGGAAAAGTCTCTTTAGGAGGGAGTAGTTAACCAAAGACCTGATGTGGAAATGGGCTCCCTTAACCACCAGGCTGCGGAGACAGCTCCCTTCTCTCCCCATCCCCTTTCTTTAAAAAAAGAATTAAGGGAACCAGCAGTTAGTGTAATGGCTATGTCGCTGGACTCCCACGTAGTCAACTGCGGTTAGCGTCCCAGACCCGGTGGCTTAAAACTCACGCCGGGCGCGTGTGCGTGCGTGCCCAAGATCCCGAGAGGAGAATGAAGGAGAAGGGATTGCGGCGTGACCATCCCCCCTGGGGGGTGATTTCTTGCTTTCTGTCTGTCTCTCTCT